AATTGTATGAAACATTAAGGATTTTTTAGTTTGTTTTAGAAGAAATGGGTAACATTTTTGTTGCCTACTCATACCGATAAAAAACTATTTTCTCACTCTTTTCAATAGTTTTTATGACACTAATAGACTGTCTATTAGTGTCAAAAAAACTATTTAATCCACCAATTATGTTTAACTCTACGAAATTTTTTAAAAATATTAAAAATAACCAAGATGATTTGTAAAGTATTTTATCGTTATGATCACAAACTAGATTATCTGGTGGATTATGAACTATAGCGCATAAACAAGAAGTCCTTTTGTTCTGACAATATAACCAAGTATTACTTGTTTTTATATTGATGCTGAAACCCTTTCAAAGCTGTTTTATAAATTGGCAATTATAGGTTCTCAGTAGGCGCAGAGCATTTGTTGGATGCCTTAAGGACTCGCATTGAGGAGTATTTAATCAAAAAAGTCGATCAAAGTTATGTCAAGTTATCGCAAGTTTCTATGAAGTTATCGCAAAAAAAATTTTTTCAATAAAGTGAAAATATATATATTTAAGGAGTATATTTATAGATATCGTGGGTTTTTTTAGATATTGTGGCTGGATAACTCAGTTGGTTAGAGCGTCAAACAAAAAATTTAAACCAGGACAGTTGTAAGATACGAGTTCAAATCCTGCCACCGCCAACTCAGCGCTTGAGTAGTACGGTACGCAAAAATATTGGTCAATAACGGACGCTACTTTGGATTTGTTTTCACGACTGTTTGTGGCAGTACCTATGCTAAGCCAACAATATCTTCGGATATAAGAATATTGTATAGAAAAATATAGCAAGAAAATTCAAATAAATAAATAAAATGTATCAAATGTATTATTATTTTTTATTATTTTATTTTATATTTTTTTTACAAGGTAAAAAATCATATTAACATTAGACGATATTTCGTCTGACTTTTTTTTCCCGTGAAGTTTAGAAAGTCAGACGAGAAAACTTTGGTTTTTGCGCTAATGCAATTTATAATCTACCGGAACAAATATGTTCCTGCGGCTTTGCTTTGATCTTAATGAAATATCGTAAAGTTTTGGGGGGTTTTATTTTAAAAATGCGTTAGCTGCATAGTTCAAATAGATTTTCAGAGAGGCGGCATGACAAGCGAAAAGAAAAATTTAGAGTACGCTTTCAAAATTGTTTGTGATTTATTTTTTATTAAATCTTTGAAAGACTATCAAAAGAAAGCTTTAATAGCTCTTAGCAATAACATAGACTGTTTTGTTTGCCAACCAACAGGCAGTGGAAAATCTATCGTGTTCCAGTGTTTACCCTTTTTTATCTTTACTTAAAACTTGTTAAGAGAAGGAAAAGATCCTGATAGTATTCGGCACAAGTATGTACTTGAGATGTGCAATAACAAAATTTTAGTTGTTTCTCCACTTTTAAGTTTAATGAAAGACCAAGAAAACATTCTTACTAAAATAAGAATTAAAGTAGCTTCTATGGAGCATAATCAACAAAGAAAAGGTGTAGAAGGTTAAAGCATTACCTTCATTAACCAACATTATTTGAACAATTTTATTTATACCTATTTGCCTATTTTTGTTATAGGGGAAGTTCAAGTTCACAATCAGATGCATTTCGGTCTCATTATAATAGACTCTCAGAATTGCGATCCCTTGTTCCTAAAAGAATTCCAGTTTTGGCATTGACTGCAACTGCAACCAAAAACACTTCTGAATTCATTATTGACAATCTTTGTATGTATAATTTGGTCATTTTATCATCTACACCAGAGAGAAGAAGTATTAAGTACAGCCTAGTACATATTGACTCAAGAGACCCAGAGAAGTTTTTTTATCCAGTTATACAAGACATCATTCTAAATACTTATAAAGCTAAAAGAATTTTAGTCTTTTCTACAAATATGAATGATGTAAGATCTATATATCGATACTTTCACAAAGAACTAGGAGAAAAATATAAAAGTTATCTTGATAGACCATATGGTCAATATCATTCTAAAACAGATGATATTGTTAAAAATTTTTATCCCAGTTTGCAATTGAAGATGGCCCTGTTTGATTTTTGGTTGCAACTATTGCCTTTGGAATGGGATTAGACTGCAAAGGTCTTCATACCGTAATCTATTATGGACCACCTTCTAGCATTAAAGACTATTTTCAAAAATCTGGGAGGGTTGGTAGAGATGGCCTACAGAGTAACACAATCCTGTTAGTTTACCCAAGGTGTCTTGCTTCTAAAAACATTAGCTCTGCTGTAAAAACATATTCTAAGAACAAAGAACTATGTCGCAGGTCAATGCTGTTAAGTGAGTTTTCTGCTACGGAACATAAGATTGACCCAAATCATGATTGCTGTGACGTCTGTGAAAGAATATGCTTATGTTGCAGTAGTTATTGTGGATTAAAAACAAACTGGTGGAATACTATATTACCAAAAGAAGTTTTAAAGCCTGTAAATTTGCAAACAGTACTTAGTTTTAAATATAAAGAGTTGCTACAAAAACAGTTATTAAAATATCGCACTGCACATGTTGGAAAAAAGAATACCCTTTGTGGTCCTGATATCTCATCAGGATTTCCAATGTCTGCTATTGCACAAGTTATTGATAGCATACTTTGGAATGAAAAAAAAAGGATTTAAAAGAAAAGACCTGTATTTTCAACGAAGATGTGTTTGGTTTAATTTTAAAAGCAGTTTTTGATATATTTTCAGAATACAACCAAGAGGTTTTATCAGAATGTAGTGGCAGTAGTTTATCCACTGAAAACAGCAATAGTAGCAGCTTATCAGATATTACAGACGATTTGCATGCAAACATTTCAACGGAATCATCTGATGATTATTTTTAGAGACATGTATTTTGATGATGTATTTGTACTTTTTTGTACTTTGATGTATTTGTACTTTATTATTTTATAGTGAAAAAAGGTTAAAAATTTTAAAAATTAATTTATCTCTTTTTATTATAACAATTTAATATAATCTTAATACTAATACAATCATAATATATTAAAACAATCATAACATATTTTTTCCATTTGAAATTTAAATAATTCGTTTTAATATAAATCTTGAGATTAAAAGTTCAGAAATATTTAGAAAAAACATTAAAATTCTAAAATCATTAAAATTTTAAAATCTCTATAAAAACATTTTCAAAAATAGGTTTTGCATTCTTAAATAATAAGTATTTTCGTAACTTAGCAACAACAAAAAAAATATAAATTTTAATGGCAGTACAAAATGTACTAAACTAAAAACAAAAAAACTTCGTATTCATGGGAAAATATTTTCACTACAAATCTGTTGAACAGATTAGATTGAGAGGGAAATCCAAGGAATTCAGGATTTAAAACATAAACAAGTTTGTCAAACTAGCTCCAACCCAAGAAGGGTTTTAAGGGCAATTTATAAAGGACAACGAACATTAATGGCTGTCTATAAAAGACATCGCCATTTTTAAGACAAATTTCCCCTTCCCCATCCCCTTTGTAACAGGTTGTCCTTTTTACCAATGATGTTTCTCAGAATGATGTTTGACACATTACTTTATCTTCTTAAAAAACACATTTTTACATAGTTTTCCAAGTTAAAAAACTTAAATAAAAATCTAAGTGACATCATTTTCTGAAAACCCCTCGCCCTTGTCCTTTTTATCTTGGCTCCCTCTATTTAGATTTTACTACTTTTCTATATTTACGAGAACAATTTCGTATTTTTTACCCCTAAAGTAGTAAATTCTAGGACATTCAAGAATTTTAACTGCAAAACCTCTATTAAACAGCCTCTTAGAAGATTCTATAGACAATATTTCTAGATTCTAGTTTTAATATTATTATTTATGAATATATAAGAAGAATAAAATTGTTTAACTGGTAGAACAGGGTCACTCGACATTTTTTAACATGTTCCCAAAATTATAATATAATAAAATCTTCATGGATCCTTAGTTTTACTTTTTTTTTTTAATTGTTACTTGGTGTAACAATTTTCATGCAATTTTTATAGAGATACTATTACATTTTATGTAATTTTGAATAGTTTTTTTAATAAAAAATATATATCAAAATAAATCTATCCAAAAAAATGTTAGAATTTAATTATAACGTGAGGTAAAAAAAACCGGTGATCCATGGGCCATGGGAGTTCATTGATCACTGGTTGGACACCTCTGATGTAGAAGTATTTAGGATGAAACCGGAACATGTGACTCGTGTTTCATGCGTTTCGTGTGATTCATGTGACTCGTCTTCGAAGAAGAAAAAACCTTAACGATGACGGAAATATTATGTTTAGAGAAGTCAAGCGCTGATATCAAAGAAGAAAAATAAAAAAGAATATAGTAGCGCGGAATAGAGCGATGGATATTTTGGAAATAATTTTATTGAAAATTTTTTTATTACAAATCGTTAAACTTAAAAATTCTACCTCCAAAAAGTGGTGGTTGTCAATAGGTGGTTCTGCCAAATAAAAAATTACGTTTCCCCCTTTTTATCTTAATAGCTTAACTTTTTTAAAAGCCATTTTTATGGTATAGAATACACAAAAAGATCTCTGGAGGAGAGACAACATGAAAATGATGACCTTTTTATAGTCATTTTCACGCTGTGGACAGGTCCGGCACTAAGAGGGGGAGGAGGTAACACACCTAAATATTGGTTTTGAGGCGGCAAAGATGGTAAAACAACTCAAGTCCACACTAATAACTACTGATTAATTTTACTAACTAATATCTTCTGATTAAATTTCTCTTTACGCTCGCAATCGCAAAGGGAAAACAGATTAATTTCACAGATTTTATAAACTTTTATCATTACAACCTAATAATAAAATTAAATTGTTACATCATCAACATTTATTAAAAACAGTAGGAGCTACTGTAATATTGAAAAGTATTTAAATAATAGAAACTCACAAGCAATGACTTTTATAAGAGCCCTAAAGTAGCTTCTTAAAGATGATAGTTTGCTACTAACAATACAATAAAACTGCTAAAAAAACTTGAGCATTTATAACAAAATTAAAATTATAAAATAAGACTCGTTAATTTACAATATATAATTCCATATGTTGATACAAGAATTACATTTGATAAAATATTAGGACAAATATTTATGTAAGGAAAATTACATAATAAAAAATATGTTAAAAATTAAAATAGTCATAAAGCTATCCCTGTTACTAGATTATCTGTGGTATAAATATTCATGTTCTTAAAATCTTCAAACTTCTTGTAAACCCATGATTTGTAACTATTAATGTCAATGTTACTTAGACAGTTCTTTGAAAAACCGGGAAAACGAGTATGTGATCGTCCTTTAATATAATGAAATATTTTAGCGTCTTGCAGTTGGTCAGCCAACTGCATCACATCCTTTTTGGAATCAATAGAAACATGTCTTTCGGATGGAGTTTTAACTAGAAGTTGATCATCAACTGATTTTATTACTTCTTGCATTTTTCTATTGGATTTGCTGCATCGTGCAAGTGAACTTTCCGTTATTTGACCTTGATACTTTGCTAAATCTATTTTAATGTGTCTGTTTTCATGTTCAAACAATCTAACTCTTTATTTGAGTCTACTTTTCCTTTTGTATTTGCAAATCTGTTCCACATTATTTCATGAGAAAGAGCAGGAGGAAGCAAAAAATTTACTTGAGCGTGGAGGTGCAAAACTTGGTATGCATACTTTGTACGACCATCAAGTTTAAAATAAAGAAGTAGAAATTTATGCAAACGCAATATCCGTTTCCCGTCTCCATGCTTTCTTGCATCAATAAAATCTTTAACCAAAAAACACAAAGTTAAAGCATTTTTGCTGTAGTTTAGAACAAAATCTTCATTTTTATCAGGCAACAATGTGGCATCTTTGTGATTATTTTTAATATGCATTTTTAAAGTCTTCATACGAATATATGATTTTTCACAAAATGAGCATTTATAGCCCTTACATAAAAAAATATCTTCTGACATATCAGGGGTTATATAACCTTCAACAAGATCCGTAAGAAGTTTTTCCATAAGAAGTTTAATATAACATTTGCTTCCCTGATCAGAAAAATCAAAATTGTTTATAGTAAAATAGTGCTTGAACGCAGTTACTAATAATGCATCACTGTATTTAAGAATAAAATCTTCACAAGCATTGATGTCTTTTAACGGGGACGCTGGTACAGATCTGGCATTAAAGAAGTTACGAGCCTGAAACAAAGTCCCAATGTCCTGAGAAGATGAAGCATGGTACAATAGATGCCAAATAACCTGTATTTAATTAGAAATTGAGATAAACTAAAATTTAAAACTTGCCTTGAATTTTGAATTCTGTATTACAGTTTAAAAATAAAGTATTTAAATTTTTAAAAATTATAAAAGTACAAAATAATTTTTTATAAGCTGCTCTTTGCTCTGCCTTTATTTAAAAAAAAAAAAAAGCAAAATTAAAATATAAGTAAAAGAAATTCCATTTAATGAATATAAAAAACCTCAAGAAAATTGCCATATGTATGAAAATCTCCTAAGCAAGGTACTAGTCCTTCTAATCTTGTTGACGAGGTAGAGGAATCTCTCAAATCATCTTGTGCATTTTGTTCTCTTTCAACCGTAAGTAGATCACCTACCGTAATTGTTCTTACCAAATGATCTGACCCGTGACCGGGAACAAGTTTATGCTGGAACTTCATTATCTCAATAATTCCTTCTGTAGTTGCTTCATTATGATCCAAAACACCCAAGGGAAACTAAAAATAGTGGAAAAACTATATTGACCCTGATAAATATTCAGAAGTCAGAAATATTTGTTTTGTTAGGGTCTATAGGAGTCTACAAAATTGTACAAGTAGCGTTACAAAATGTGGTACCTGTGTAGAGAAATATTGAACAAAACACCTTAAAACATTAAACAAAGTGCATTAAAACATTAACGAAAACACATTCTGATTGTTTTAACACAAAAAATATTGAACATATACTGAGTGTGTAGCGCATATACAAACTACTGAGAGGATTTTATATGTAAATGATGCAAGTATGACATTAACACCTGATTGAATCAAACGTGCAAGTTAACTTTTATATTTTCTTAAATATAAAATTATATTAATTACGTTTGATCACTAAGCACAGATTGATTTATTTCAGTTAAAATAAATAACACTTACCACCTCAGACTTCTGAGTTGTTTGTTGAGAATATTAATGTGAAATGCGAAATACTACATACTTTTTCATCCATTCCAGATCCTTAAAATATTTAACCAGATCTCTGGAAGCCAAAATTTTGAATTCATTTTTTAATTCATTTTCATCTTCAGTTGTTGGAAGAATTAGACTTAGGGAAATATTTCTTACCTTAATTGAAGGTAAGAAATGTTCTTACCTTCAATTGAGGTAAGAAATCTCAAAAGAAGGCGAAATTTTTTTATTGACGCCCCCCCCCCCCGCCCTTACCCCCCCCCCCCCCCGCAACCTCTCTAGGGTTTAAGTATAGTCAATATAAAAAGTGGAGAAACATTAAAAGGCGTAAAGTTATTATTCAATGATATAAACGCTGTTTATATCATTGAATAATAACTAAACTTTGTATTGCTTTTGCAGTATCCATTTTTAGCAGAAACTTTTACAAATGTTGCCTTGGCTATTTTGTTCATAAATTAGACATGTAATTTTAAGCCTATTTACTTAACAAAGTGCATCAACGAGAAGGTAAGCCATAGGACTTTGCACTTCATCTGTATACTGTCATTTTGCCCAAGGTTAGCCCTCCATTTCTGGATTCTTTCATTTTCTTGAGAGGCACGTAGTGTAAAGTAATGTTGCCTAAGGTTGGCCCTCCACTTCTGGATTCTTTCCTTTTCTTGATAGGCACGTCATGTAAAGTAATGTTGCCTAAGGTTGGCCTTTCATTTCTGGATTCTTTACTTTTCTTGATAGGCACGTCATGTAAAGTAATGTTGCCTAAGGTTGGCCCTTCATTTCTGGATTCTTTCCTTTTCTTGATAGGCACGTCATGTAAAGTAACATTAGGTTATTTATTAAGGTTAAGTAATATTAGGTTAAGTAACTAGAAATATAATAATAAACGTTAGTCCTTCATTTCTGGATTTTATCTTTATTTTATTTTATATTATTAATCTTATATTATATTATTTATCTTGCCTAAGGTTAGCCCTCCATATCTGGATTCTTTTTTTTTTTTTTTTAACTGTTTTTTGTTACAATAATTTTTGTTATATTTTTTTATTGAAGTTCTATATTTTATATATATATATATATATATATATATATATATACATATATATATATATATATATATATATATATATATATATATATATATATATAATATATAATATAATATATATATATATATATATATATATATATATATATATATATATATATATATATATATATATATATATATATATATATATATATATATATATATAATATATGTATATATATTATATATATAATATTTATATTATATATATAATTTATATAATAATATATATAATTAATTTTATATTATATATATATATATATATATATATATATATATATATATATATATATATATATATATATATATATATATATATATATATATATATATATATATATATATATATATATATATATATATACACACACACACACACACACAATATTAGTAAAAATCAATTTAGAAATAAGAAAAAAGTAAAATAAAAATTAGTACACTACTAAATAAAAGCCAAGTCTAAACATCTTTCAGCTGACTTTGAAAAAATGTCAATGACTCTTTCAACATCTGGAAAAATTTCTTGATGTATGTACATTAATGCTAAAGAGTTAAAGCGAGACTCAATTATATTACTTCTGGAGTATGTTTTTAGCCTACAATAACTGAAATACTTCTTTCACATTCACAAGTTGTTATTGGAATTGTTCCTAAAATTATAAATGCTGTCCTTATATTTAGAAAACCTCTCATGCCAATGGACTTTAAAGTACCAGCAATAGTTGAAGGAATACTTGACTGGTTTTTCCAAAATAATTCCCATAAATCTAACTCAGCATGTATTGAAGTAAAATGAGGCATATCAGATGAATAGAAATTTAAAAATTCATAAAAATCAGACTTCCATGGTTTTTTAACTTGTATTTGAATACAAATTTGATTGGTTATAAATAACATTTCTTATCTTTTTTGTTAAGTTTTTTGCGGAAGTTTTGTAGCAACTGATGCAATTGTTATTTTATTAAATAGTGATTGGTTTAAACTGTTTTTTAACCAATCTTTAATGATTTAGAATACGATTGCATCAATTGCTACAAAGTGATTGGAAAAATTTGTGAAAAAGCACAAATGTGATTAGTTAAATTGGTTACTTTTTTTTTAAACCAATCACATTTGTATTTAGTGAAGATCAATTGCATCAGTTGCTCCAAAACGCAGGAATTTTGTCTAAGCAACGAATAAGTAACTATAGAGATCAAATAAAATCAAGTTTAAAATTTTTTTTTTCGAGTTTAAAACAATTTTTTCATTTTTTGTGAATACCAGATTCCAATTTCTACTTTCACTTTTTATTAAGAAAAAAAAGTGAAAAAGAGATACACTAAAATTTAGCGGTGAAAAAAGACTGATGCATGCGCATTATTCGCGACACCCTGGATTTGCCCCTGATATATATATATATATATATATATATACATATATATATATATACATATATATATATATATATATATATATATATATATATATATATATATATATATTATATATATATATATATATATATATATATATATATATATATATATATATATATATATATATATATATATATATATATATATATATATATATATATATAATTGTATCTGAACAAAAACAAAATTAACAAAAACAAGTAGTACCAGAACATTCTGAAGCAAAAGAATAGTCAGAATCAACAAAGTTTATAACTGGTTGCAGAGCCATCAAAAAAACTGTCATTCATATTTGAAGATAAATGTTTAAGGCTAGAATCAAGAATATTATGAGTCAACTCATTTGGAATATCTTCACATTCTTGGTTCAGAGCAGAAGATTTTTTTGATACTAAACTTATTGCACTGTATTCCAATTCACAAGCTAGCTTATGAATTGGTAGATAACAATTTTCCCCCAACATCACATGTTTTTTCAAGACTGATGTATGTGATAAGCAAATATTTAAAGATTGAAGCCTGTTAAAAGTCATTTTGTCAACTTTTCCTCTCTGAAGAACTAAAGAATTAACAATGGCATTAGCATTCATTTGTTGATTATGACACATTAGTAAACAGCTAATAGCATTTGTAATAGAAGGTATACAGGTTTCGATTTTTTTTCTTGTGTTTCTTTTGATAGATCTCACATTTCTTGCGCATGACATTGCCATTTCTTTTAACAAAAAAGCTTTCTCACATAACTCACTATATTGGATTTGATATGAAATTTTATAAGCATTATTAATATCAGGTAGTTTAAATGAAGAAGATGGGTTATTACATAAAGTGTCTACTTCAAAAGAAACTGTTGTGTTGATATAATTTTTTTTTTTAATTTTAATTCACCTCCTCAAGGCCGAGAAGGCCACTACAGACGAGGAGGCTATGTATTTGTGGTTATAACCCTCTCTCAACTCTATAACTCCGAAACACGAACCTTGACGAGCAAGGCCGCTGCGCGGAGAAACGAGTTGAGCGCGGTACTACCAGGGACGTGGTGGGGATCGAACTTGGAACCACTCGTTTATGAAGCGAGCGCTCTACCACTACACCACTACCGCATATTAATTATAGAAATATTAAATGCTGCTGGATCAAGTTCTTTTATTGCATTAAAAATAAGAGCAACATTTCCTTTAATGGCAGATTTAATAAGTCTTTTTCTATTGATAGGAACATTAAATTTATTTACTTTTGGATTCGAAGTACTTGTTAACAAAATCTAAAGTAAAAAAATAAAAATAATTAGCTACTTTTTGGGCTAGAGTGGAAAATTATTAGATTCCTAAAGACTTGTTTTATTAACTTTATAAACATTTACAGATGAATAAAACATTTCATAATATATTTTCACAACTTTTATTCAAAAAAAAATATTTTCATTCAATAAAAGATCCTTAGTGTTTAACTGTTAAACCATGATAGAAGTAAAAAATTGTCTATTTATTTTCATAACTAAAATAAAAAAATTATTAGGTACTCTGACTAAAATATATTTGTAACAAAAACTTGATTTTTTTCTGAATACTTGTTTCTATTTACTCAGTATATTACAAGAATAAAAATATAGAAAGAAAAAAAAAAGAGAGAAAAAACTGTTATAATTTTATAAATATTACAGTGCAGTTATCTTATTTTTCTAAAAACCTAAAAATATGTATATGGCTGTTTAGGGGTTTTTGGCAACACGTATATGTATACCGCCCTTAATTAAGTATATGTACATGTATATATATATATATATATATATATATATATATATATATATATATATATATATATATATATATATATATATGTATATATATATATATATATATATATATATATATATATATATATATATATATATATATATATATATATATATATATACATATATATATATATCGCCCTTAATTAAAGGTGGTATACATATACGTGTAAAGGTTTAATTAAACCTTTACACATAATTATCCTTTATCATTTTAAAATAAGCAAAGGTTTAATTAAACCTTTTTATATACATTTTAATGATGAAAATAATACTAATAAAAAACATAAACAACCTCTATACTTTCTTGATCAAGTTTTATTTGCTTGTTTAAAACCAATCTACTATCTGTTACTTCTGCTGTTGGTATAGATATCAATGTTCTTTGAGAGCTTTCTTTAAGAATTTCGCGATCTCTTGAGATTGCACTAATATTTTTTTGTATTTTTGTTAATGTTTTTTTTACACTTGTATAGCATGTTTTACAAATACAATGATAGTTTTTTGAATAAATTAGCTTTTCATTAATTAATTTTTCTTTATTTAGGCCAGCCTCTGTTATTTTTCTCTTATTGTCCAATAAATTAATTTTCATAGAACCATCTTGATAGGATGAATACTTAAGTGTTATATCAAGAAGACATATAATACACACGTTTAATGAGCTAAGAGATAAAAAAACCTCAGAAGATTGTGAGCGCCTTTGTCGTGATGTTAAAATTTCTACTTTTTGAAGCAGTGAACCATTGTGATATTTGCATTGAAAATCAAACAACTTACCCTCCATTTCATATACTAAATCCTATTAATAGGATACTAATACTAGGATACTAATACTAGATACAATGATGTATTAAAAGCTCTTTGACTACTACTAATGATTAAGGTGGTTCACCACTAAAAAAAAAAAATCCCTAAATTTCATAATTTCAAATTAAAAAGTGTATAAAAGTATAATATATGAAAATAAAAAACAACCTAAGTGTCATTTTACAACAATTTATTCCTAAAATCGCGAAAATATGTCAAAAAGATTGCAAAATCAGTCAAATTTGAACAAAATTTTGAAAAACGATAACTTGGAAACCATTTGAAATCAGATCTTTATATTTTGCAAACAGTTTGATGCACATAAAACGAAGGGCCTGAACCAAAATCACTGCTATATTCTTAGTAAAAGTTGAAATTTTTAATTTTTTTTGGCAAAAACATCAAAATTTGGGGGGTTGGCTAATGAAATGAAATAGAAAAATGTAAATAATTTATCAAATCCAACAATATTTTTGGTTCAGGCCCTCCATCATTACACGTAGAACATGTCATGAAAATTTGAAGCAAAAAGCTTTAGTCATTTAAAAGTTATGATATTTCAAAAATTAAAAATTGCACAAAAAAGTGAATGAAGAAAAACAACAATAAACATTTTATAACTAATATAAATATCAAAAACTTCCAGATGAGTAGGGTTTAAAGGTTTCCAGTTGTTCTTCTTCATCTTGCCAACCCTTGTTAATTGATTTTAAATGTATCCTTCTACTTTTTTTTTCAAAAGTGTCTTTTTTATTCATGCTGGCAACGCGTTTTTGGTCTCTACAAAATGAGGACACTGCAAATTTTACACCATTCTCAAGATTAAGGTGACTCATCACTCTCTGAACACCAGCAGTTTCCTCATTAAAATACAATACAGCTGAGTTCACTCCCAACTCAAATGAAGCTTTGTGAATAAAAATATTTTTTGGGCATCTAGACCATATAATACTATTAAGACCCTCATTAGAATTTTGTGTTTGACCATGAGTGCATTTTTTCAAAAGGTTGTCATCACTTAATTCTTCAAACTCTTTCTTAATTATATCATATATCCATACTGGTAAATTAACTTTTGGTATGTAAATGCTGTTACCTGAAGAGTTTCCTTTCTTCCATTTACACCAGCTATTAGGACCCACTGGACATAACACGTGGCGACAAAATTGATCAGGAAAATTAGTGCAATGGTAAAGAACTGCGCGAATGTTTTTTTTCATTTGGTATACCTTTTCATTTTCACTTAAGGAATTATTAGCTGCAGCCTGTCTAATAACCATACCAAAATAGTGCAAAAGACTTCAAAGTCAATACATCGCCCTTCTGAAATAGTGGTCACCACACCATTTAGTGAAACATGACCGCGTTTTTGCCATGAGCCATCTGAAGAAACTCTAATTAGTTTTTTTCCTGAACCAATGTGCTCCTCTTTAACTTTATCTTTAACTTTTATTGCAGCTGCCTTTGTGGATTGTTCTGCTGATAATTTATATGGATTTTGAATAGTGCTATTAAGTTTGTTAAATGCGTTGTTATTCATACATGAAGTGTTTGCGATTCGGGCAAAGTCTACTAAGGCTTGGTGGCCTTTCCCAATTTCACGAAAAGCAATAACGATTCTAAGGTTAATATCAAAATAATTTCTGCCTTGTTTAGATACATATTTTTTAACATCATCAGATGTATATGTACAATACTGAAATTTACATTTAGTACATTTAAAATTCAACTTGTGAGAAAATCCACTTCGTTTATCGTTGTCATCTGTAAAAACAATACAACTGTTACATTCTGGGCAACTGCCAATATTATCAATAACTTTTTTTAAAATAGAGAAGTTTGTTATAATGTTATAATTTTCTAAATTAATATAATTATCAGCTTTTGTTAAAGAGACTTTGCTGGCACTAACTGAAACATGCTTAACATTTTCGTCTTCTTTTAGGGTAGGGATTTTGTTCCACTGGTTGCCACAAAATGCTCTTTTTCTTTTTGAACTCTTTTTTTTTTTGCTTCCCATTATATATAATATCCTAATATTTTAAAATATATAATATGAAACTGATAAGTTATACTAAATAATAAGAAAAATACAAAGCTTTTCAAATACAGCAATAAATTATCACAAGATGGCTTCAGATAAATCATACAAAAATAGCAACTTCCATAGACTGTTACATTTTAAACTTTTGTCAAACCATGCTGGCCTACTAAACTAATGCGTAACTAACAAAAAAACTTAAATCAAGGCAAAGAGAGATTATAAACATAAGTTTGCGTTGCTAGGGGCCGTTGCTATAGTAAAGTTATCTGATAAGGTCTAATTAAAGCAAAATACTTCAAAAAATACTCAAGATATACAAAAACAGAATCCAGAAACATTTTCAGCAATGTTGAATTACTATAATACAAAAAAAATCTCAAAAACCAACTTTTGATAAAAATTTAGCTTTTTTTGGTGGTGAACCACCTTAAGAACAAAATGATTTTATTATTATATTTATGTCTGTTAACAAAATAAACGTTATTTAATAATAACGTTTCTTTTTCCGCTTTGAATAAAAAATACGGGTTTTTAAAATGTTTACTACGGTAAACAATATAAAATAGAAGTCAAAAGTACGCCTCGTTTTCAAATTTAAAACGGTTGCCGTAATTATAATGCCGCGGAAATCGTAGTCGTAAGGAGATTTACTTTTTGTAAATTGTACAATAATAGGTACGCCGATATCCGCGTTTTACGGAACCGATAAATGTGCTAAAATTCTGTGCCACGCTTTTTGAACTTCGCATTTAGAGAGGTAGGTTGTGCTGTGTTTTGTCGCCTTATTTTTTATAATTTCATATTAACATAGATATTTTTTAGAAACTAGAATGATTATACTTTAAGAATTTTAGTTTTTTGATTACTATTACGTACTTTATAATTTGATTACTTGACATGCAAAACTTTGTTAACTTTGCACATCCAGCAAATATCGAAGATATGGATAGCAATTGAGATTGTTTCGCAGCCATTTAAGTTTACCCATTTTTTATCTGTCTGCCAAATTTCGTTGAAAAAAAATGGGGCCCAAGCAGTCTATTTTGGGGCCCACTTTGGTACCTATTTTCCTTAATCTGAAATTTTTTTGCGGGCGATCGGGGGGTGCAAAAAAATCGAACTCTTTAACTTTGAAAAAAAAAATAAAACTTTTTTGTAAATTTTTTATCTTTATTAAATTTTACTTTTTTTAGATAAAATTAGTGAAGAGATAAATTGTAAGATTACCAAAATTTTTATTTTCATTTTCCAATTAATTTATTAGTTATCTTTTATGCAAATAGTATCACTATTTACTTAGATATAATAATACTTAGTAATGCTAAGATTTTCTAATCTTTGTCTTATCTAAACAGTATTTCTGAGTAATTGTATTGTTTATTTAGTAAGAAGTACATAATGGTAGAAATTTATGTTTCTGTGTATGATTCTATGTTTCAAAGTCAGAATCTATATCAATAAATATTGATATAATAATACTATTAGTACTATTACTAATAGTATTATTATATATATATATATATATATATATATATATATATATATATATATATATATATATATATATATATATATATATATATATATATATATATATATATATATATGTATATTTACATATATATATACATATATATATATATATATATATATATATATATATATATATATATATATAATATATATATATATATATATATATATATATATATATATATGTATATTTACATATATATATATATATATATATATATATATATATATATATATATATATATATATATATATATATATATATATATATATATATATATATATATATAATATATGTATATTTACATATATATATATATACATATATATATATATATATATATATATATATATATATATATATATATATATATATATATATATATATATATATATGTATATATATATATATATATATATATATATATATATATATATATATATATATATATATATATAGTATATATATATATATATATATATATATATATATATATATATATATATATATATATATATATATATATATATATAACTTTTGTTTAAACAAAACTGATATAAGTTGTTTGAAATAGTTCCGTTGTTATGATTGTTTACATGCACAAGCTATTGAAAGCTTATATGGAAAATTAAGTTAGTAATTCTATTTTGTTATTTAGTTATTATTTATTTAATTATTTAGTTAGTAATTCTCATTTATTGAATCTATTTATTCTTAATTCTATTTATATTAAAACTGCTTTGTTATTTTATTTATTATGTTTTTATATAATCTTATAATAATATAAAATTCTAACAATGTAAATCACAATGAAAATAAAATATAACTGTAATGAACTAACAAAAAAAAAAAAAAAAAAACATTATTATAGTTATAACTTTTTTTTTAAGTTATTTGTTCGCAATTGGTTATTTTTGTTTTTTTAGACACTATGGACAATACAATAAGTATGCATTTTATTGTATCATCTAATACTTTGTTAAAAATAAATTATTGTTTTTCAATCTCAGATTTATTTACTATTAGTTACTATTTATTTTTAAGACAATTTAGTTAACGCTTGTAAGTAAATTTCGTTTTTGGATTTAAAAAATTTAATATGCAATTTATGTATAAGACCAATTTTGAATATATAGTTTGTGTATATGAAGCAAAAACTTGAAAATTGTATTATTACTAATTTTTTTTATAAATAGGTTTATAATAATTGTTATTCTTTAGTGAAACCTTTATCAAGTTCCTCAAGAAAGTTTTTTATGGTAAAATGGTAGTTCAGTGGTCTATGCAGGCAGCACGTAGAAAACAAATAAAAACTCGACTACAACATTCTGAAATTAGAGCTGAGACTTCTAAAAGACAGACTATAAAACGCCAAAAAATCGATAAAAAAAAAAAAAAAGTTAGAGCAACAATTAACATTATTAACTATTAGTGAAATTCTGAATTTATTTAAAAACTTATCTACTAAGCAAATTGATGATTTAAATGAGGTTATGTGTGAAAGAATTGTTGGGAGAAATTTTTGCCATGAATGGTATGAT